GTCGAAGTTAAATAAAACAGGGCCTGAATAAATCGTTTTGTACTTGGTACAAGTCTGGTCATTTTCGAACTAGTTCGATTTCAGTCAGGGAATTCTAGTTGTAAACTAGTATTTTTCCTGACTAGTTTGGGATTTCCCTGCAGGGTACGAGTGCGTGGTTTGTACTTGATTTCAAAAAACAAATGGATGCATACTTTTAGACATTTTTTTTTTAATTACTCAAAAGTAGGGGCTAAAATAAATGAAAAATCCTTTTATTCCTCATCTGGTTCTCGATTTATGATAAATTATTTAATTTATTGACAGATTTTACAAAGCGAAATTACTTGATTTCAGCATGATTTGCGTGAATGACCGTGCTTTTATTCTCATTTTTATAAACTCGCTTTCTTCTTTACTTCATTTTAATTTGCACAAATTTACATACATATATGTAAGCTCACAATTTAGTTTGCTAGATTTGTAAACAAAGCTTCTCAGGGATAAAAAATATACTATTGTTAACAACCTAAACGAGCGAAATTCATAATAGCGCTATTCTTCATCGAATGAGCGTCATAATACCAAATCAAAATTCGTTTGATCAGCACTTTCGACCACAGCCGAAGATCGAATGCAACTCATAATAGGGGCCTATACCTTTACTGTAATGTTTTCAGACGGTGCTAGCTGTTACTGCCAATATAGGAGTATTACACACGATGCAGCGAAACAAAGGTGGCGCCTTCCGCGGACCGCTAACGCTGACGTCACATTATTATTTCTTCGCACTAGTGCTGAATATTCAATTTTCATATTGTACCTATTTGCCGAAAAGTTGTACCTAAAAGTAGATATATGTACCAAAACAGTAAACATGTGCATATATTTTTGATAGTTGGTGGACCACATCTTTTTTCTGTACCAGAACATCTTTTGGACTGACAAGAAACAATATTTTACTACGTTATAAATGTACCTAAAATAATGTTGCTGTACCGAACGTACTTTCAAATTTAAGAAGCTGAAGAGTAGATGCAATTTTCGATGCAGCGAAACAAAGGTGACGCCTTCCGCGGGCCGCTAATCCCTTCTTTCTCGATTTGACAGCATCCACCCTTTCGCTGACGTCACACTATTATTTTTTCGCACTAGTGATGAATATTAATGACAGCCCTCTTTAGTATTCTGACTGTTTAAGTTAAATATTTCCTAATAATCTTTCGTTTGTCGCGCATATTTTAAGATTTCATACAGTAATTTATGTATAATTGAAATAAATTCGACTTTTTAAACAGATGGCAAGACTGTAAAAATATTGTCAAACTAAAACCTTGTTAAACCTTTTCCGTTTGACACCCAAATATGCATATTTAAATTACCTAATTCCTTTAATTCAAGATGCATTTAAATTTTAAAACGGGTGACAACCCTGCTACATGTTTTTGGGGAAGTTTCTTCAAAGCCATTTTGATTAATACTTATAAACCTATTGCATTCATCGAACTTTACTTTGTGAACAGGTGGCAATCTTCTTAAAATTATTTTTAAACTAAAACGTCTCACGCCCGTATTGTGATTCATATTCAAGTTGCGTTTAAATTTTAAAACTGGCGGCAACCCTCCTGCATGTAATTTCGAAATAAAATATCTTCAAAGCAGTTTTGATTGATAAGTAAGACTACCAAAGTAATTAATTTAACCTATGGAATACGTTGAATTTAAATTTGTAAACAAGTGGCAACCTTCTTTAGAATATTTTTTAACTGAAACTTTCTTAAACCTGTTTCGTCTGACACACCTCGGAAAAGAAGGGATAGCCTTGAACCCGAAAAAAAATTTTTTTATCGAATTTTTTTCTATGCCGTCTTCTTCTTCTTATTTGGCGCTGTAACCGCCTAAGCGATTTTGGCCGACTTCAACAAAGCACGCCAGTCGTTTCTTTTCTGTGCCAAGCCCTTTTCCACCTGGTCTTTCCAACGCAGAGGAGGCCTTCCTCTGTTACCAGCAGCGGGTACCGCGTTGAATACTTTCAGAGCTGGAGCGTCGGTGTCCAATCTCCCAAGGTACTTATCTTCCTAATATATAAAAATCCCGTGTCATTGTGTTCGTTTACGCTAATATCCGAAACCGCTTAACAGATTGCAATGAAATATTGTGGGTGTGTATTGTTGGTTCCAACTTAAAAGATAGGACAGTTTTGACCCCGAGAAGAAATGTTATTTTTCATCGACATTTATTCTATGCTTTTCGCATCGTGCATATCTTAATATATAAAAATCCCGTGACACTGTACGTTTACGCTAATCTCCGAAACCGCTTAACCGATTTCCATGAAATTTTGTGGGTGTGCATTGTTGGCTCCAAGATAAAAGCTAAGATAGTTTTGGACCCGAGAAAATTTTTTTTATTTATCGAAATTTTTTCTATGCTTCTCGCATCGTGCTTATCTAAATATATAAAAATCCCGTGTCACTGTGTTCGTTTACGGTAATCTCCGAAACCGCTACACCAATTTCAATGAAAGTTTGTGGGTGTGTATTGTTGGTTCCTACTTAAAAGATAGGATAGTTTTGAATCCGAGAAAAATATTTTATTCATCGAAATTTTTTCTATGCATCATGCTTACCTATACTATATATAAAATTAAAACCCAAAAGAAACATGAGAGCCAAACAGCTGATGTACTGGGTCGATAAGTATGTTTAATTAAAGTATTAAGTTGATCAACAATACCACGCATTGCTGGACCGTTTGCCTTTCACGCGTTTGTGTTTAGAGAGCATCAATAAACCACATACGTATGTCTCTCTATCACAGTATACCAGTAGAAAAGGTTTTTGTTTTTGTAGCTGTTTCGTGGTAAAAGTAAAAATAAATAAAGGAAAACTTGTTCGTGATATCTCGACCAAGGTGTATTCATGATACAAAAATCTGAAGGTAAAACCGCTGAGAGGCAGCCTGAACATTTATGAAGTTTGCTAACATTACAAAAATGTTTTCAAATTTCCAATCTCACAAATCCATTCTCATTTTCAGTCTCAAATAAATGAAAATTTCAATATTTTCATCTATTTGTTTTTTGTTTTACTTTTTTTTGGCATTTGAATTGCTCACAAAATTTCAATTTTATAAAATAGACAAACTTCAAAAAATAAATGATGGCCGACAAATTGAGCAACCGGTCTTACCTTTAAATATTTGTATCATGGGTGTATTAAACAAGGTGTTATTAACAACTCAGTGCGCCTCTCTTTTAAGATACCATTATGTAAAAAATATAAACAAACGATTCAAAATTCATACAATTTTTTTTTCAATTTGTTTTTATAGGATGGTTCTTCTGAGAGCAATGTCAAATTCAATTACACTTTGTTAAATACATTTTGATCTCTACCAAAAAATATACTTCCTCTGTAAATATTTTATGAAGTGTTCCCAAATTCGCTCCGAGGCCGTTCACTGTTGATCATTTGATTTAAATAGTTTGTCAAACAATTAATACTATAGTTTGATCGGAGTTAATACATTCTTCAGTAATTAATTATATTATATTAAAACATAAGCTTATGAGAAATTATTTAGTCTTAAAATGCATATTTTATATCGTGTTCCGAAATTCGCTCCAAGCGCGTTCACTATTGATCTTTTGATTCAAATATTGTTTGTCAAGCATTCAATAGTGAAGTTTGATCGGAGTTTATATATTCTTCAGTAATTAATCATATTACATTGAAAAATAAACGTATAATATGGTAGAAAGTTAGAAATTATTTAGTGTTAATATGCATAATTCGCTCCGTGTTCCAAAATTCGCTCCGAGCGCGTTCCCTATTGATTATTTGATTTAAATAATTGTTTGTCAAGCATTCAGTACTATAGTTTGATCGGAATTTATATATTCTTAGGTAATTGATCACATTTTATTAAAATATAAACCTTTAATAGGGTAGAAATTGTGAAATTATTTAGCTTTAACATGTGCAGTCGGCCAGAGACAATTGCAGAAAACTGCAACTACTCGTGAAAACTTACAATATAAGCAATGTAGATGAAAGTAATAAATATTATTATTAAAATTAGATCTATATATAAAACATGTTACATCATTTAATTGAAGTAAATCGGAATATATTTTTATATATAAGATAGTTTCCATTTAACTCATAAAGTACATATTTCACTACAAATATTTTTAAGATCATTTCGAATTGCGAAAATAGCGCTAATAAGTTGTATTTAAGTATAAAATATTTTATTACGTTCATGTTTACTTATGAACCGCATAACAATATTTCTCTCGCCATTTATCCGATGTTAAAATTTTTCACCACATTATTTTGCTGCACAGCACCCTGAATGCGGCAAAACAGTTGCTCGCAACCCTCAAGTCCTTTATGGGGACCAAAAACCTTTTCTACTGGTATACTGTGCTCTCTATTCTCTTCTCTTTTTATACTCAGCCAGCACAGCGCAAAAATAAAAAAAGAACCTTTGCCAGCTTCAGGCATGCGCAAGCGAAATTTATGTACAAGCAGCGCGGCGTCCAAAGCGAAATTTATGTATGTACAAGCAGCGCTGCATTCAAAACAAACAGTATAACAGTAGAAAAGGTTATTGTTTTTGTAACTGTTTCGTGGTGAAAGTCCTTTATGTGGACCAAATTTCCCCACAAGAAATTGAGCGCATGGGTGCTTTTGCTTGCCAAAAGAACGAATATTAGAAAACATTGAAAAAAAGTCTGAGATAATACAATTATATTCTACACAATAATTTGCCCTAATTAAATAATATGATAATCAAGTGTAAAAGCTCTTTTCAACTCTTATTTTTTCCAAAATAATATTGCGGATCAGATTGCTCTGAGCGCTTGTTGTAAAATGTTGTTTACCAAGAAAATGCAGCCCTGTTGGTTTTTATTTTTTTATTTTTGTATCGCATCGCGGTGAGTTTCTATTTCTTGGTAACTCAGTTTGTGAAATGGTAAACAAAAGATTGAAATTTATTGATTTGATGTGTTTAACATTTGATTAATGCAAATTTCTTTCTTTTCGGACCATGAATTACAAGCACAGCATCATCAACGGTCATTGCAAGGAGAGCTACTGCAATCCCTGCGGTTTTTCCTCTTGGTAAATGCGTTCTGGGCGTGACAAAAGATGGTCTTCCAAATCAGCCGGAATCCCCACACATCTATTGTACAATGTGAGCATTGGAATTCCATAGTGCAAATTTATATCCTATTTTCTCATAACATTTTTATTTGCATTTGTAGGAGCGTCTGATAGCCCACCAGCGTACATAAATAGAAAATACATAACGTGGCGAGGAACTTGTATTTGAAGATGATGAGTACACAACGTTGGAGAGCATCGATTTGCAATCTGAATAAGGTTAGTCATTTTCAATTTTATATCTTTGTTCGACAACATCATAGGATATGTCATCATTGCAGGCTATTGTTGCAGAACAAAACGCCGCAAGCACTGCTGTTCTTGCTAAATATATGTATACCAGCAGTACTGGTCAAAGCCGTCGGTGCAATGATTTCGATATCTGGACAAACGCCATCTCCTCATAATTCCAACAGCTTGCCGACACCTCAGCTATTTCAACTATTTCAACTAAAGCACGTGATGTAGTATCTAGTTAAAATCTATGACAGATTAGCTGTTACAATTACTCCTATAATTTTTATCAGTCACGCATGATAACAGGTTGTAAAGTTTTTGGAATCGAAGAAACTACTCGAAGAAGACGATGGCCGCAAAACTATGTAGGCTGATGAAACATCTTCTGGTATGCCTTTGACGATCGTTAGTCAGACGGAGGCTTCACATATGATATTTTAGTCATGGCTGGAGTTCGTTAGCGGACAGAGCACACATTTACAAAATATTTATCAGGCTGCAGAACGTGAAGGCATATTCAATTCCGATTTTATTGGTCGATTATGGATGGCAATCGAACTTCAGTTGAGTGGCCAGTGGCTGAAATGGTATTCTGTTATAGCCACCAATTGTAATGCTAGCTAGCTCTCGTTGTGTGCAGACGTGTTTTCTTTTTGCTCCGATATTTTATTTATTCTTTCGTAATGGCCAACTGCTGTGGCAAATGTAGTAAAGCGTTTTCGAGATCTGACGCGAATTTGGTGCCGTGTAATGGTTTTAGCCGGAAAACATTCCATCGTGCGTGTTGTAAAGGCATATCTGAATACGATATGAACTAACCGGCATTTAATTTACCTCTGTGAAGACTGTGTTATCATGCCGGAGAAACTTTGCAAAGTTCTCGACGAGGTCATGGGGACCCAAAGGCGTAGTATTGAGTTAATATCTAACGCTTTTGATGCTAAATTCAAAGATCTTTCTATTCAAGTTGATGCATTAAAAAATCTTATTTTATCTTTGCATTCCACCAACAATTTGAATGCAAGCAATTTAAATGCTGTTAATGTGGGTTTGTTGGCTGCTGAGTTTGATGCTAGTGCTTCGTACAACAACAATAATTACTGTTCATCGCCTGGTGCTGTTGTGGCTCCCGCTGCCCCTCTTTCGTTTGGCTCTAAAAGCGTCTTGTCTGAGCGCACATCGGCTCAGAGTGTTAACGTCATCTCTCCCGCTCGCAAAGCTGATTCTGGCGGGATTGCTAGTTCTAGTGGCTCTAAAACAGTACGTCATGTTGACGGCCTCATGGACACAAATACTGTCGCAGGTTGCACTGCCAATTTACTTGCGGGTACTACTACCACCACGAAGCCAACAACACCATGCACTGCTAATGTTTCTGTTGCTGCTAATTCATCTTTACTCGCTCCTGTAATTGTGAACAATATTTCTTCTGCTGGTTTGCCACCTGTTTCACAACATATACCGACTGGTGGTGTTAGTGCTAAATCTGAAGCTGTTAATGCTACGGCCGCGGAAGTGCCTAATCCTCCTTCTCCTACCCGCAGCCCTGTTTGGCTTACTGCTGAGAGTAAAAGGACAAAGCACATCCAAAAGCGAACTCGCGTGATGGGATCAAATAATTGTAGTGATCTTGGAGTAGCTGCCCGCTTTAAGTGGTTGCACCTTTCGTCTTTCGTGCCAACCGTCTCCTGTGAGAATATTGTTGATTATGTGGTGAGACACGCTGGCATTGATAAGCGGCACTTAACCTGCTACAAGTTTGTCAAAAAAGAGTCGAGACTGGATTCCTTATCCTATATCAATTTTAAGCTTGGCGTCAGCGAGTTCGATTGCGAAAATCTAATGAGACCAGAGTTGTGGCCAGCTAATGTTTCTGTTCGGCCGTTCCGTTTTTTTCATAGAGGGACAAACCAAACTCATCCGAATTAGTTCATTTGTCCTCGGATGCGCCTGATCCCGTAGTATTGGATATTAATAAGTTTTGTTGTAATGCATATTTAAATGTTAATAGGCAGATATATAATTATAGCTCTTTGAAGGTTTATTTCCAGAATATTTCAGGCCTTCGAACAAAATCAGCAGCGGTACGCTCTATTAGCTCGCAAAGGGATTTCGATGTCGATTCTTATTGCGATTCAGCGTAAATTTCATTCGTTCTCTGTCTCGCTTGAAAATGATGATTCCCTTTTGGATCAGCTTTGTGTTCGCATCAGTGCCTCATCTAGTCATGACTCTCTGTTTTTGATTGTTTCTTATATCCCGCCTAATAGTAATTATAATCTTTATAAAGCGCATGCTGACAACATAATGTCTTTAGTATTAAATAAGCTAGGAGATGACCACCTTTGTGTGTTAGGCGATTTTAATCTTTGTAATGTATCTTGGTCCACATCTTTTTCCAATGCTGGTCTCTCGCCAATTAATGTCAATGCGTCCCATGAAGTGTACTTTATAGATAGCCTCTTAAGCCTTAATTTATTACAAATCAATAATTTTGTTAACAAGTTGGATAGAATTCTTGACCTCATATTTATTAGTGATAATATTAAATGTAACATTGAAGTTTGCCACAATCCGATCACTCCATCTAATATGCATCATGTTCCTCTGCTTCTTAAATTTGAATTTTATGTATTCCCGTCTTTCAATGCTGGTGACAAACCTAAGTTTAATTATGCAGCCTGCGATTATCCCAAGTTAAATAGATTACTGGGTGAATTAAATTGGGAAAGCTTACTCTCTTGCCCCGATGTAGCTAAATGCTTCGCTACTTTCAAATCTGTAATTTCTGATTTTTGTTTTAAATTCATTCCATTAATTAGAAAAAGACCCTATAAATTACCGTGGTATAATCGTGACTTGAAAAAACTTAAGAATCTTAGAAACAAATTTTATAATAAGTTTAAGGCCTCTGGAAGTCAGTTTTTCTTTGAAAAATATCAGGTCCATCTTAAAAAGTTTAACTGCTTGAATAAATTCCTGTACAGAAATTATATCTTAGGTATTGAATCCAATATCAAAGAAGATCCGAAATCATTCTGGCATTTTACTAAGTCTAAGAAGAACAACTCTAGTATTCCCTCAGCTGTATTTTTTGAAGATAAATGTGCCTCCACTCCAGCTGACGTTGCAAATCTATTTGCTGCATTTTTTAGTTCTAATTTTGTAGATGATTACCCTACTGTGGATTCTAGTTTCTCTGCTAGTGTGAATTCTACTAATTTTGGCTCCCTTAGACTTTCGTCTGACGATATTGCTAATGGAATTTTAAATCTAACAGCTTCTGCAAAACAAGATATTGATGGGCTCTCTTCAAACTTTATAAAGAAGTGTCCTGCTTTGATTTCTCCTTTAAAAATTATTTTCAATAGGTCTCTAGCCTCCGGTATTTTTTATGATGAATTGAAATTGACTTCAATTACCCCTATTCTTAAAAGTGGCAGCAAAAGTGATGTCTGTAATTACAGACCCATTTCGAAACTTTCAACAATTTCCAAACTTTTTGAAGTTATCGTCAAGGAGAAAATGTATTTCGCGACAAAAAGTCTAGTCTCACCCAATCAACATGGTTTCGTCCCCAACCGATCCACGGTTACTAATCTAGGCGTCTTTAGTGAGTATTGTATTGCAGCTAT